ATTTTATGTGTATGCATAATGTTGAGTACAGAATGGCTTATATTCCATAACCTGTAAGACAGCACAATGCAGTAAGCCTGCATCAAGTCAAGAAACTCAGTTTTAGCTCTGTTACTAACGTTTCATGTGACACTGGGTGGCAATTTAAATTTGTAAAATGAGTGGATTGCACTGAGGGTCTTTTCATCTCTTAACATTACAGACAAGGATCTAGGAGTTTTTGTCTGTTCCTTCTTGATTCTGCTTTCAAACACGCAAAACCAATTGGGATCTTTCTATTTACATGGAAGTTGTCTGTTTTAATTAACCTTCATTTTATACATGGTGGTCAACATCCAGTCGATAAAAGTTGTGTTAGCAAACAGATTAACTTTTAAGAGTGTCTGAAGCTTTTAGAGGTAAACCTGAGCCCAGAAGAAAGGAACCCTGACCTCATGACCCTAGTCTTCTCCCACTGCAATAATATGATTAATAAACTTTTATGTATTTTTAAGAATCAGTTGCTGGAAAGTTATCAAGAAGTCATCATTTAAAACAGGCTATATAATATAAACAGTAATAGATATCCAGGTACCTATACATCCTATTAGATAAGAAATTCTCTTCTACTATTGAAAGTTTCTTTCAAATCCTAACAAGAGGACGCCCAAATGCTGGATTTTTGGTATAACAGCGTTAGTCACCATTTTCAACTGAGAACATCCAAACAAGCAAGTACAAAAAATAAACAAATAGCAAGAGATTCAAGAAATGTAGACTTGATGGCAAAGAATAATCAGTAAATGATAAGAAAAATATCCTGACCTGCTGTGACTCCCACTCCAATCTGTCTGCTCCTGTTGTCCTTGATATTATCTATTTCTTGCAATGCTAAAAAAAAAAAAAAAAAAAAGTGGGCAGGAAATGTATTAAGTAAGAAATCAAAGTAATTCTAAAACACCTGTGTAAAAAACAGTAAGCATCCTAAAGAGATATAAACAAGATTTCTACTGCAAAATTTTGTATTAAGTAATTCCATGGCAATATTTTCTAGACCAGATTCATAGCCATACAGCAATGTCAAATCATAGGACTGTGTCAATTAATGACTAATGAATGAACAATTAAAAAAAAAACTTTTATAAATAGCAGTTCAAGAGAGAGTAGTGGCAGAAATGTAAAAATGTGAACCACTTATTTTGGAGACATATAAATTCAATAACTTTAAAATTATTTTATATTATAAATTAAGCTGTATGTGTGCATCCCCTATGGTGATTCTGAGCCTAGTTTTATTTATTAAAATTGACATTGTTAACCAATTTTATCATATATTAAGAATACTTAGTATTCTTAAAATGATAATACTTGTTAAATTAATCTACAGATTAAATACAATGCCTACCAAATTCTCAACTTGCTTTTCTATAGAAATTGACCAGCTGATCCTAAAATTCATATGGAAATGCAAGGGACACAGAATAGCCAAAAC